ACTGGATATGAGAGAAGCCTGTCTGGACATAGGTGGAGGAAGTACATGAGTAGTAATTCACCCTGGAGGTGAGTCCAGGTCCATCATGGTACCAAAGCGTTGGTGACTAGAAGACTCCTGGCTCTTACCCAGCATGCACTGCCTAAGAAGGCCAGCCTTTGTGACTGTCAGGAACTCAGAGGAGGAAGATGGCACTGAGAAGGCCTCCATGAGTAATCTTCAACAGCTATATGGAAGTCAGGTCAGCTCTGATTGGGAGTCAATCCTGCCATTCTTCTGATGGGCGGGTGCTACTGAAACATACACCTCCTGATTCCCAGGAGTCCATAGATTGGACCAAGGGTTTCCTTTGGGCTTGACCTGTATGTCCAAGACGCCCAGTGTGTCTCCTTCTAGAGCCAAATGATGTTGTGGATCCTAGCTCCTGCGAGCTTTAGCACTCAGGTGGATATCATCTACAGCTGCTATCTCTAGAGAGCATTCATTTAGACTGTACTCATACTGGAGGCTGACCTCTTGGGACAGCTCTGCTGGTGACTTTGAGAGTTTTTAGGGACAGAGTGAGCCCAGAGACCTGAGTCCCATATTGCAAAACGCCAAACATTCTTTTTTTTTTTTTCTGTGTTCTACCTGCCCCTTACACATCAGCCATCCCTGGACTCCCCAACAGCTCCTCGGGGGTCGCTTTATCCAGAGCTTAGGTCACATGGGATTGCAGACTCGACTCCAGACATGCTTCCAGACATGGACAATGTGACACAATACCCTACTTTCCTTCTCTTGCTGAGTTAAACAACACAACTAAAAACAACTTGAGGGGAACAGGGTTTTATTCCAGTACACAGTTACCATCCATCATCAAGGAAGACCAAGGCAGGGACCCAAAGGAAGGAACTGAAGCAGTGTCCGTAGAGGAGTGCTGCCTACTGCCTTGTTTCCATGGCTTGCTCGGCCTGCTTTCTTAAACATCCCAGGCCCACCTGCTCAAGGATGGCACCGTTCACATGAGATGGGTCCTCTTACATCAATTATTAGGACGTGGCATTGCTTCCTCAGGCCAGTCTGTGGGAGCAATTCCTCAATGAGAATTTCTTCTTCCCAAGTATGTCTAAGTTTGTGTCAGGTTGACCAAAACTAACTACAACACACAGGCAAGATCTGAATTTGGAGCTTCTGGTGGAGAGCAAAGCTCACTTCCCTGCCAGAGGACCACAGTGGAGCTGGTGTTCCCAGTCTTCTCATTTGTCTCAGATTGCTAGCTGCTCCCTTACCCCATGGTGTGTGAGTGTCATCAGTGTCCCTGATGGCATGGTCCTTGTTAGTCTGAATCACCTTGTGCTTGAGTGGGCACCTGGCTGGCCTCCACCTCATCCCCTCTGACAGTGGAACTTAGTGTCAGTTTCTGTGTGAAGTCCAGATTCCCCGTTCACTTCAGGAGCTCTCTCTGGTCCCTCTTGGCAGGCCAGCTCTCTGAGGGAACGAGTGTTTACCGCTTGCCATGGAGATGGTTTATGTCTTTCTTCCAGCAATTTGTTTGGCAATTCTAGGAGACTTGTGGAGATTGCGTGCAGTCCTCCATACAATAGATGAGCTGAAAGACTTGGAGAAAAACGTACTTGTGAACACAGGGAAGCTGGTAAAAAGCCTTTGCTCCTTTCCCTCTCCAGCCTCCAGAGAGATTGGTATGCCCGGGCAGAGATTCTTCTGTGTGCCTGCTGCTTTCATCCCAGGCCCAAAGCTGGTTGGCGCCTGCTTGTCAGATTGTTTCCTTCTTTAGTTTCATATGGCTTCTTTCCCTTGTGATTTTGGCTTAAATTCCTGCCTTGGTGATTCTGGGCGCTCTTTAAAGGTCTCTGTCCTGGTACGGGAACATGGGGCCAGCATCAGCTTTCTTGGGTCAGAGGGAAGGAACTGTATGCCTGTGTTTAGGTGGCTTCAGTTGCTGGGGAGAACATGTCATTCCTGGGTGGTGAGTGTCTTGGATGGTAAATGCATTCAGCCTCGCTGTCACCTGCAGTGTTACCAACAAACAGTTGTCCTTCTTTCTCCAGAGAAGCCCCATATGGCTTTGAAACGCTATTCCTCAGGTTTCTCCAGGTAATAGACTCCTGGAACGTAAGGCCCTCTATACAAGAACCTGCAGGGTCATCTGCAGTAAGTTTTGAGAGACCCCAAGAAGCCTAGTGGGTGGCTGCCTTGGTCCCTGTCGCATGCTCTCCCTGACATACCAAGCTGCTTCTGGAAGCAGTAGAATGGGAAGGGGCTTGAGGGACTGGGACTTACAGAGTGGGCCAGGACCAGTTGGGAACCCACTCACTGGTGTATCTGCTGTACCTGGAAGACACCCTAGCACGGGCATTTGTAGAGTCATGTTTTGTAAGTGTGTGTGAGCAGGTTGTGGAGGAGGGGAGCTGGTGAGTCGTGGGCTTGTGTGTCAGCGTGCTTTGATGCAGGAAAGGCCAGCGGGGATGCTTGCCCATAGGAGAAGCAGGGCTCAGGAGCAGCTCTCAGAAAAGCTGAAATGATGGCAGTGGGCACAACTGTGTGACCTAATGGCCGTTCTCCACAGACCTGCATAGTAGCTGTATAAGCAGCCAATGGGACAACGGGTTCTCAGGAGTGAGCAGGTAACTGGAATCTACTAGAGTTGGTGCCAACATAGAGGCCTCCCAAGGTGGCACCCAGCCACTTCCAAGGGAGAGACAGAGATTTAAACATTCAGAGGAAAGGATAGACAGGAGGCCCTACAGGACCGAGTTCATGGGGAGGACAGTTTCAGACAGACTGGGTGTGTTTCTGACTTTGCCTCAAATGCTCTCAAAGTGATACTAGGGACAAAAATAGATTCTCTAAAAAAAAAAAAATCTCAATGGCTCTTTCTTTGGGTTGATAAAGCTTACCAAAGAGGCAGCATTGTGGTGTTTCCCCTCTGACCTTTGCTGACCTCAGCCTGGCATGTGGACCAGGGTGGGGCTGGGTCAAAGGCAGCAGCACATAGAGACTTGTGTGATAGTCTGCCAGAGCTGTCTTGACCAAGGCCTGGTAGCTTGACAGCAAATTTGCAGTCTCAGCTTTCAAACTTCTAAAATCAAGGTATCAGCAGGCCTAGTTCCACCAGGAGGCCAGGGAGGATCTGCCCACACCCACCCATACTCATTGTAACTGAATCCTGACTTGATAAAGGCTAAAACCCCCTTTCCCAAGTAAATCCGCATTCACATGTGCTGGAGGGTTAGGGCTTGCCGAGTCTGGGGACTCGGTTCAGCCCACCACAGTGGGGGCAGAGCTCCCTCAAGCCCAGCCCACCACAGTGGGGGCGGAGCTCCCTCAAGGCCAGCCCACCACAGTGAGAGCGGAGCTCCCTCAAGGCCAGCCTACCACAGTGGGGGTGGAGCTCCCTCAAGCTCAGCCCACCACAGTGGGGGCGGAGCTCCCTCAAGCCCAGCCCACCACAGTGGGGGTGGAGCTCCCTCAAGCCCAGCCCACCACAGTGGGGGCGGAGCTCCCTCAAGCCCAGCCTGTTTGCTGAAACCCTCCCTTGTTTCTTCATCATCTTCCTCCAAATCATAAATTTGAAAAGCCAGAGAAGAGTCTCATTTCCATATGCTAGCAAGTTGCTGTGACTCACCAAGGTGCCTGAGGCTCCTGCAGTCACAACAGAGTGGCTTTTTTTTGTCTCTTGGTGGGTGTATATGCGTGTGTATATGTTGTGCCTCTGTACAAGTGGGTGTGCACGCATACATGTATGTGCGCATGTGTGTGGGAGCTAGAAAACCTTCAAGTGCTGTTCCTTTAAAAACCGTTCTTGTTTTTTGAGATGTTTGTACCCGCCTGCAACTTGCCAAGGTAGGGTAGGCTAAGTGACCAGCAAGCCCTAGGGATCTACCGGGCTCCTTTACCCTAGTGCTGAAATTGCAAGCTTGTGAGACTGTGCTCCACTTTTACCTGGGATCTGGGATTAAACTCAGGTCCTCATGCTTGCAGAGCAAACACTTTACCGGCTGAGGCATTTCCCTAGCCGCTCTGACTTCAATGTATTGAGTTGTCTTATACCAACTTGTCTCCTATGTGAGTTACCGTTCCTTCCCAGGATGATGCCAGACTCCTCAAAGGCTAACTCCACCCCCACCCCACTCCCAGTTTTCCTTGGGATTCTGTAGAGTCCATCTGGAAACTGTTAGATATTGAAGGGGAAGTTCTTCTGACTGACACATCTCTGACAAGGTTGAGCCAAGTGACATGGCCATAGTAAGTGGCACAGTTCTGCTCTTTACACATTCGTCTTTCCTTTTCTTCTCTTTCTTTCTTTCTTTCTTTCTTTCTTTCTTTCTTTCTTTCTTTCTTTCTTTCTTTCTTTTTTTTTTCAATTTGTAGACCAGGTTGGCCCCAAACTCAGAGATCTACCTGCCCCTGCCTCCTGAGTGTTGGGATAGGATTAGAGGCGTGTGCCCTGCCACCACCCAGCTCATCCTGCGTTCTTATGAATTTTCCATGAACCACGCATCATTTCATCCCACTCTTCCCTGCTCTGCTGTGGAACCCTTCCCATTGGTGCCAGAAGCTGGACCGGCACCCTGATGGAGCATACTGGGCAGATGGTGTGTTCAGACGGAGCTTTTGCCCCAGGGCCGAATGGCCTCATCAGAACCTGACTGCTCTTCTGTTCTGAGCTCAGCTCAGGCCTTAGGCGTACCTTCCTTGGTTTCCCACTGTGGCTACTCACAGATACCTGGTCTTTGCTTCTTCTTCATGAGCTTCTCTGTAGGAACGCTCATAGAGAAGTTCTCTAACCCCTTTGTCTCAGCATCCCAGCAAGGACCCTAAGCCTGCCTCTGATTGGGCACACGTCTGCTTGGCCTTTATTTTAGTTTAACCAAAGTTCTGTAATGGGGAAAAGACGAGAGAGGGGCAGATGCTCGGGGGATCCTGAGTATTACAGTCGTATCGATGCCCTGTCACAGCGTCAGCCTCCTGTAACCACAAGCCGGCTTTTCTTTCAGGAGTACATTGATGCTCACCCTGAGACCATCGTCCTGGATCCCCTCCCCGCCATCAGGACCCTGTTAGACCGCTCCAAGTCCTACGAGCTTATCCGCAAGATCGAGGCCTACATGAAAGGTATGGACACGTGACCCAGCCTTCTGCCGGGTGGTCCACCTCTGTGGTCACAGGTTGTCACTGTTCAAGGAAGGGCAGGGACTCTTGTCTCGTTAAGCACTTTGACACAGGGAAGAATTGAGTTTAAGGGGTGACCATCATAGGTAGGGAAGGACCTATGTTCTCCTTTGCAATTAAGGTTAAGAGATAGAAGCCACAGGATGCTCTCGGGGAGGGCTGTTCTGGCGGCTGCTGCTGCGTAGGGTTTTGCTGTGCTGAACCCTGTGGGGAGATGAGGTGTCCTGATAACGCTGTGGTTAGGGAGAAGAAGTGTGTGTGTGCGGAATCGCTCGTGTGGCTTTTAAGCAGAGTTATATAACAGGGCAGAGGAGACAATAGGAAATCAGGGGCCTTTAATCAAATGCCGAGAGATGCGCAGTGCTGCTGCTGGCCATCATGGCGTACGTGCTGTTCCTCCTCACTGTGGAGCTTCTGCCAGCTGCTGGCTCTCATCCAGAGAATTTACCTCTATCCCACCTGATCGGCCCCAGAGAAGTGCAGACTGCCCTTTCAAGGTGTATGTTTTCTGTGAGACGGGCATTCTAGAAAGATTCTCACGAGCAGTAATGGCCTAGTCTTTTCTGCCCCTTGTTCCCTGCCGAGCCTTTTTATTTTCATTTTAAGCAACAATTTTTTTCTTTGCCTTGGCCCAGGGGCTGCTGAGAGTTTCTCCCTGCCTGCCTACCATATAGACTGTTTGTGGCCTAAGCTGCCTCGAACTCCAACCTGGATGCTCCTTTGCTGTGGGGGTGGAATCAGTAAGCACATTGTGGTGGACAGGACCAGAGCTAGTCTAGAAAGAGGGGATCGGGATATGGGAGTGTCCATTTATTGGGTAAGCACCATGTGCTTGGCCTTAAGCCTCTTACGGTCTGTCTTTCAGCACTGTTTGCTGAGCGCAGCAAACCTGTCCATTTTACAGATGAGTCTTGGGGCCGTTATTAGTCAGCGTTTTGTTACCATGATGAAATACCTGAGCTCAGCTGTGTGTATAAAGGGAAGGTTTCATTATCTCGTAGTTTCGAAGGCTAGAGTACAAGCAGGACAGTGTAGAGCTGTCCTGTGACTGTATTACATCATGGTGTGTGACACTGGCGGGAGCGGAAACGGAAACAAGCAAATGGTCACATCTTGAGTGGTGAACCAAGGAGAACCTCCCTCACCTTGTGAAAACTACCAGGGAGTCCCAGTGATGTTAGGAACCAACACCACACACACACACACACACACACACACACACACACACACAACCTTCTGCTGCCGCCCTCCACCCCTTAAGCAGTTCACTCATTTACACGATAGCCTTAGGAACCTCCAGTCACACAGACATTTGGAGGAAACACACACGGTATTCAAACCACAGTAGCATTCTAAGAAGTAGCAGACACCGTGGTGTCCCAGTGGCTCTCCAGCTCTGGCCCTTCAGCTTCTCGCCCCTAAGCTTCCCTTTTAAAACCGTGACCATGGGCGGGCAGTGCATCCAAGTTCCTGCCTGGAGTGTTGGCGAGCCCTCCATTCTCTCTAAGGAATAGACAGCTCTTCCTGGGGAAGAACTGGGCTAGGCCTGTCATGGAGGGGTCTAGGGTGCCTGATCTTACTAGTTATCATGGTGTCTGAGAGCGATGCCTCCTTACATATGTGTGGGAGAGCACAACATGGCAGGTAACCAGCAACCTTCTTCTTTGGGTCTGAATGGTTTGATTTGCTTTCTGAGATGGTTCCAAAACTCCAGATGAGAGAAGGGTAATTTTTTTTTTTGACACTGATGACATAAAAGACAAGTAGTATAAAATATGAGAGAGGGGCCATCTGCTGGAAGAAGATGGCAGGCACGCCCATACCTCATTTGATGTTCTAGGCCTGCCCATGAGAAGTGACAGCCTTGGGTGTGGGTCTATGGAAGGTGCCACCTTGTAAACAGTGGAGGCAGACAGGTCGAGATTGGATTGGAATCTGGCTCCAGCTGCCCGTGTGATCTTGGACCTGTCACCTAATTCTTCCTGGGTATATGGTAGACACGGGTAATGTGGCTCACTCTCACCAGTTAGAATAGTGGGGATCTCATCTGTAGAAACATGGCCCACTGTTTGGGCCACTGGGTCCTCTGAAATAGAAGCTTCAGGCTGTCCTTGCTACAACTGCAGGGTCCTGACAGCATCTTTATTAGGTCTTGGAGCTTGTTGAAGACTTAGGAGCGGGAAGGCAGGGCTCTTACACACATTTCAGGGGCAGCTCAGGCCTGGTGTGAGCATGCACCTCATAATCAAGGAGCAGGGTTGCAGCGGTGAGTCAGCCTCAGCCCACACTGGAGTTAGGGAGCCCGCTCGCTGCTGGTGGTTTCGGACAATCAGATCCTACAATAGTGAAGACTAGGGTGTGTGAGACATGTTCCAGAGGGGACCCAGTGGTTAGGTAACTGGGGTAGCCAAACCCCAGGTGGACCCTGCTATTCTTGGGCACAGAAGAGTGCTACCTGGGACATTTCCTATCGTGCCCACGGATGGTGTTCTGCTTTCTTGAGCCTTTTGGCATCTAAGGGGCATGGGGACTTCTGATTCTCTTGCAGCCATTGCTAATGTCCCCATCTTAGATGGGAGGGGATGGTCTCAGGCTAATAGCTTAAGCTTCTGTGTGAATGACAGTTTATTCTACTGAGTGGGGCTTCAGTGGGCAGACATGCTAGTATGACTAGCAGTGAGGTCATCTGTCCAGAACTGCTCTGAGGCAGGCTGTTAGGACCCCAGGAAGCCCATTCTTTGTTTTACTACCGAAGTGGTTCTCAACTTGTAGGTCATGACTCCTTTGGGGGTTGACCAGCCCTTTCTCAGGTGTCTTCTAAGATCATTAGAAAACACAGATACCTATATTATGATTCAAACATTATGAAGTAGCAACACACATTTTACGGTTGGGGGTCACCACAACATGAGGCACTGTATTAAAGGGTTGCAGCGTGGGGAGCATTGAGAACCACTGTGTCACAGCTGTCCCACAGCTCTTCTGGAATGGTGCTGACACAAGGTGACTCAGATTCAGAGGAATGTAGGAGGGCACCATGCCTGCTAGGGGCTCCTTCCCTAGATGCCATTGGCAAAGGACCTGCCTGGGTGGGCAGATGGGATAGACAAGGACTGAGGATGCAGTGGACTGGCCTGCCACGACCAATGCGGTGAGGGCACTGAGGAAAGCTGCCAAGTGGCCACTTATGCAGGACCTTGAGAATGTCAGGCCAGAGAGTAGGGTGGAGACTTGTTTTTGTTTACAGACAGTGTTTCAGTGCTTGAGGGAGTGAGTTGAGATTCACACTTGTCAGATCAGTATAGATGTGGCTGGAAGCAGCCCCGAACCAGTGTCCTGTAAGGAGTACCTAGGTTGTGGATCTTTTGACAGTGGCTCACACCAGCTCAGGCTCTGGAGGCTGGGGACAGGGCTACTCGAGGGAAGGTGCCAGGCAGAAGCTGTTCTGCTGGATTGATTCATAGCCACAGTCCCAGGCATTGTCTTCTAAAAGGGACAGAATGGGGGAGCTATGTCCATCCTCCCAGGCAGGGAGGGCCTTGCCTGCCAGGGCTTGCAAGAGCCATTGACTGTTCCCTAAAGCAGGATTGGTTCTGGGCCGGCAGGAAGTGTTGGGGGTGGGGGGAGCTTGTGAGTGCTGCACCCTGAATTTTCCTTATTGTCTGAACCAAGCCAGCTTGTATTCTTCCAGGAGGGCAGTGGACCCAGAGCTTCCTGAGTCCTTTCCTGCAAATGGGGCGGTTCCATGGCAGTGCCCCTGGTGGGCTCCCTGCTATCTGCCTGCCAGCCCCTCTACAGGTGCAAGGGGCCCTTCCTGGGAAGTGAAGAACTCTTATGCCTGTGCCTCAAGCCCTGCTTCTCCTCAGAGGCACACAGCCCTTTCTAGGCATACTGTGAACCACGATAATTACCCCTGAAATTCCCTCAGATAATTATAGCAATCCAAGTGACAGGGCTTTTGTGTAGAGAGAAGGGGCTTGGTGAGCCTTTCCTACGCTGCCAGGACCCAGAGGCTGAGGTACCCCACAACCCCCTGAGAACCCAGCCATCAGGAAGCCAGAGCTGGGAGAGGCTACTGCAGAGGCACTTGGCTTCTCTGGACTAGAGAATGAAGATAGCTGTGGCCCATGGGGAAGGGACCCCAGGAATAGCATGCCATGTGGGCCAGTATCCATGCCTATGTGGCTGCCTTCTCCAGGCATGGCATCCTCTAAGGGAACCATCCCCCTTTAGTATTAATGACAGGGAAGCCTGTGGCCTGGAGCCCCAGGCTCAGCAGTCAGAGCACCCGAGCACCTTTGCATGGTCTCAGCACCACATTCTGAGATCTTGTGTCCTCCAGGGCCAGGAGGGAAGCAGGCCCCGTTCTCTGCTTCACACCAGCCAGCCACAGACTCTCAGCGTGTAAGTTGTTATGAGAGCAAAGCAAAACAGGGCTTTCCCTTGACCTGTGTAGAAGCCCAGAGGACGGATGGCCTTGCAGCTTTGCCGTGTAACGGTGAGCACCCAGGTGGCTTTCAGACCCTCATTCTCTAGTAGCATGGCCCTCCTGCTCCACAGTGGTGGCTGACCCTTTAGGTTCTGGGAGCTGCAAGATGTTCCCCCCCAGTGGCCAGATGCTGAGCTGCAAGGACTTGGGAAATAAACCCTTCTTCTGTGTAGCTATTCGCCCAGCTGAAACCTAGAAGTCAGCACTGGGAAGAAGGGCCATGGATGTGAGGGAACACTAGTTAGTCATTTCTCGGGTCATACCAGAAATGCGAGCTCCTCCTTTGGAAATCTGCCTTTCCCATAAGAATGGCATTTGGAAGGGCTTCTGGCTGGTGTAGGATATGCTCTTTGTCCCTGATCCCAACAGCAGTTCCCTCAAAGCTGCAGCATAAGAGCAGGAGGCTAGGAGGTTTCAGTGTGACACACCCAGTACCTGGTCAGGACTCATTCAT